AAAGAGCAGATATTTGCACAGAACTTTCCTGCCAGGCGTTCTTCTAGTGCTTTACCTGTATTCAAATTACCTGTGTTGAATCCTCATCACAGCCCTGGCAGGGTACGATTATTACCTCCATCTCACAGATGAGGGTACTGAGGCACAGAGAGGTGACACAACGAGCGAGGGCTGGCTCCAGCATGAGGCCTAGGCAGTGTGGCCTCAGAGTGCTCTCAGCCATCACCTGGATGCTGCCTGGTAAGGAGACCCCGATTCCAAACCCTGGCCCTTCCCCATACTCCCTTTATCCCCTAAGGACAAAGTGCTGGTGCCACACAGGAAAGGGGGCAGTCATTCTAACTGCCTCCAAAGGAGGATCCTCATGGGGAAGAGGGGTGAGGCTCCTTGAAGTCACAGACCTTGTTGCTCACCTCCACAGCCTCGTGCCTAGCACATAGAGAGGTGCTCAGTAAAAGCCCAACCACACTGGACCTTGAAGGAAGGTTCAAGAAAGGTAGGAAAGCAGGAGGGAAGCTAGGAGGGCTGAGTGAACCACAGCGCCCCCCCCCCCCCATAAAGTATTTTCCAAAACACCCACACTCTTTTGGCCAGGGCAGGGGGCTTAGCAGTGCTACTTTCCTGTTCCTGTGATTAATACCATCTCAAATGTGTGTGTCCCTCTGTATTTTATCTCATTTGAGCTTCAGAGCAGACCCATGAGGTAAGGATAAACAGCCCCACTTTTACTGGGAGAAAACAGAGGCCTGTTCCAAATGGGCTAAGTCACTTGTGCTAGCCTAACTAGCACGTAGAGACCTGGACACCCAGGCTTCCTGACTCCCCAGCTCTCATCCCCTCATGCTTTCGCTGCCCGCCAGGACCTCACAGAGGGACCACCCCGCCCACCTCCCCCTCCCCTTTCCCCCTCCCCCTTCCCTCCCTCCCCCACACCAGCCGCCCTGTCCTTCTCCCAAGTGGCTCCTTGAACTGGTCAGCTTGTTCCTGTCTTAAGATCTCTGCCCTGGCCATTCCCTCAGCTCTTCCTGTACATTAATCCTCATGCAGTTGGCTCCTTCCTGTCATTCCGGTGTCAGCTCAAGTGTCACCTCCTCCAAAAAGCCTTCCTTGTCCAACCGACCTAAAATAGCCTTCCAGTCACTCTCTGTTGCATCACTGTTTTATTTTCTTCCCAGCAGTCATGAATCTCTGGTAACTTCTTGCTCCGTTACTATTGTTAGCCTCACCTCAGGTGTATAGTAAGAACTATCAGTTACATCGCACAGAGCCACCACATGCCATGCAAAGTTCCAAGAGCTGTACATGCAGCAGCTTCCTTAGTCTTGGCAGCCATCCTTTACTCCACCTTCTGTTATAATCCCCCTTTTGCAGAAGAGGACACTGAGGCAGGAGAAGCTCAGAAACGTGTCCAAGATTCTACCCTTAGTAAGCTCTGCTCCCAGCACACCTAAAACATCAGCCCTTCAACAAACAAGTTTTTAAATGGTCAAGACACTTGGACATTTCTCCAAAGAAGATATGGCCAACAGGCACATGAACAGATGCTCAACATTATTAGTAAATGCAAATCAAAACCACAGTAAGATACCACTCCACAACTTCTAGGGTGGCTATCATCAAAAAAAAAAAAAAAAAAAGAAAGGAAAGGAAAGGAAAATAACAAATGTTGGCAAAGACATAGAGACTTTGGAACGATGAGTGCAAACACTGGGTAAAGGGGTATTTTACATTTTTTCTTAAAGATTTTATTTATTTATTCATGAGAGACAGAGAGAGGCAGAGACATAGGCAGAGGGAGAAGCAGACTCCCTGTGGGGAGCCCAATGTGGGACTCGATCCCAGGACCCCAGGATCACATCCTGAGCCAAAAACAGACACTCAACCACTGAGCCACCCAGGCACCTCAGGCCCAAGTTTCGGATTCAGAAAGTCTAAGTGGGGCCTGAGAGTTCACATGTCTGACAATTTCCTACTGGCCCTTGGGGGCCACACTTTAAGAACAACTGTTCTCTATTCCCATTAAACTGCAAGAGAAAAAGAACCTTGATATACAACCCAGTACAGAAAAGATAGGGCCCACATTTCATTAAAAGAGAGAGATTTGAACCATCTGAAAACTGAACTACACCAAAAAATGAGTAGTCCATTTTAATCCGTGGAAAAAATCTGAGGAGAAGGTTAACTGGGCTGTATGAGATTTACTGGCTACCTCCTTGGGGCCAATGCTCTCCCTCTCTCTTCAGAGATGAGGTCACTCTGGCTTTGTGGAAGCCCCTCAAACAAACCAGCTCCTTTTCCCACCTCAGGGCCTTTGCACTTGTCATTGCCTCTGCCTGCAACAACACTCCCCACCTGAACCCTCCCCTTGTCCTACCTCTCATCTCCACTCCATCTTTTTTTCCAGCTAATTCCCTCACAATCATTGAAGTCACCCCCCCCCCCCAAGAAGCTGTCCCAGACAAGCCACACTGGATCAGGAACTTAAAGATGGTTTAACATTAGGGAAATCACATTAATGTTATTGTAAAAAATTAAAAATTAAATAAAGGGAGAGAGAGAGACTTTATCTTGGATAATGAAGTAACGCCCAGTAACCTTTTAATCTTTTTAAGCAGTAATCACTACTTATATGAAGTGTTTACTCAACAAAATAATTTTCACAATAGCATTTTTGAGATAAGTACTGTTATTATTTCCATTTTATAGATAAGGGAGTGGAGGCCCAGAGAGGTCAATCAACTTGCCTGAGGGCACACAGCTAGTCAGTGCTAAAGCCAGGAGTGGAACGCAGGCAGTCTGACTCCAGGCCCGTATTCTGAACCACTGATGTCTGCTGCCATCAAGACAGTCCTGGCACGCTGTTGCTGTCACTCACCTGCCATCTGAAAAGCTGTCGTGAGTAGGGGGGAAGGTGAGGCTGCAGCAAGCTCACTGGGAACTATAGTACCCGAGCCCCTTTGTGGGCATCGGGGGAGTGTGTTCTGGGCAAGTACATCCATCACAGCTGTCAAGGGGAGGAGGTTGAAAGCCAGGCTCTATATGACAGATGCAGACTCGCCTCTATTCCTAAGGGGAGCATTTGCCGCTGAGAAATGAACCATGCCTGGGGGTCCTGGAAGCTCAATAGGGTCCCTCCTCTGCTCAGACATAAGACCCTGGTTCCCTGTGGGTCCACTGCATTTTTAATTCTGCTCTAGTCCTTCTCTCTATTCTGACCTGTTAGTCTCAGCCCCTTGCATTCTGTGCCCCACCCCCCCCCCCACACACACAGATACACAGGTACTCAGCTCCTACTTCTTAGCACCCTGAGAGGCAGGTAGCACGGGGTACTGAGCAGGAGCGTCCTGTCTGCCGCTGTTCTGCGTGCCCCGGGCAAATCCCTGTGTTCAATGTCAGAGTCCGTGAAATGGCTCGGGCACTTGACGGATGCCCCCCTACCAGGTGAGGGATGCAATGGTGTCTCAGTAAAGACGCATGCTGAGCCCTCAAGGAGCTCAGCTGAGAAAACCACTTAATTCCAGGCAGAAGGATCTCAGGTTTAGGGCACAGGTTCAGGGTGTTTGGGAGACCCTGGGCGATGAGGGGCTTCTTAGCTTCAGACTCCCAGCTGCTCTACCTACCAGTTGCGTGAACTTGAACAAACTGCCTGTGGGAGGCAGAATAATGCCACCCACATCCTAATCCCTGGAGTCTGTAAATATGTTACCTTACATGACAATGGGGAGGCAGGGGCACAGTAATCAACTGGCCCAAAGTTAGTGAGGTTGTCCTGCTTTATCTGAAAAGACCCAACATTATCACAAAGGTTCTTAACAGTGGAAGAGAGAGGCAGGGGAGACAGACGACGACGTGGTGTGAGAGAGACTTGTGTGAGGCAACTTGTCACTGCTGCCTTTGAAGGTGGAGGAGGGGGACACCAGTTAAGAAGTGCAGGAGCCTCTAGACTCTGGAAAAGATGAGGAAACAGATTCACCCTTGGAGCCTCCAGAGAGCAACGCAGTCCTGCGGAGTGAGACTTCTGACCTCGGAATGTAAAATGATAAATTCACGTTGTTGTAAGTCACTAAGTTTCTGGTAATTTGCTGCAGCCAAGACCGAAAATGAATACACTATCAAAATTCTGTAAAGCTCAGTCTCCTCCCCTATACAGTGGAAATAATAAACCACATCTACTGCATGGGTGTGATGATTCAACAAAAATCCTAGTATGTAAAGATCCTAGTGCCAGGCTTGGCCCTGAGATCCTCCGTGACTGCTCCCTAGACAAGCCTGCCCAGGGTCCCTTGGGTCAGGTGACAGGCCCTCCCTCCCCGCTGTAACCCAGGGGACTTGGGCCACTCTCCGAACCACCAAAAAGACGATGGCAGATTCTCTGTAGGACCATTCAGCCCACTTTCCCTTCCCTCCCAATTTCTGCCTGCTTCTGTTGGTCTTTGATAGTGTAATCTCTGATTCTGGGAGTTGGGGGTACGTGAGGGACATGGGAGCCACCATCCATTTTCCACCAAAAAAAAATGTATCCTTTGCTAGAAGACCAGGGTGTGCACCTGGTATTAAGTGATGCCTCTATTTCCAGGGCAAGCCTTGGGCAAGTAATCCCTTTACCAAAAAAGGATGGTCCTTGTGAAAAATTGCTAGGTATTTTGTATTTGCATCCATCTATTTATTCACAGAACCATAAGCTTTCCAATGCTGGATTCACAGGCAAGGAAATATCAGCTGTCCTTTTTGGAGGGAAAAGAAAGGAGACAGCACAGAAAGTAGGTTTAACACCAGCGTTTATTAGAGCAGACAGGATGGGGGGCAGAATAGATGATGGGACCCCTTTGCAGCCCCCAGGGCTGGGCTTCACTATACCCTGCAAGACTTTCCAGAAGTTCCAGCTCATTGGCCCCAGGTGAGCTTCTCCTTCTGCCCACCCTATCAAACCTGCAGGAAGGCCATGAGGGGCAGGGAAGGGAGTGATACTTCAAGCTATTGGCTTTAATGAGTGATGCAGGTTAGTCAAATGAAGCAGCGTACATGTATATATATTTGCCATCAGTCCCCGAGGCAGCCTTTGCCACAGAGGTCTGAAAACATCCGTTTCCATGGCTGAAAAATAAATGAAAGAAGGAGCCTCATCCCGTGTTTCAACAGTAGCCAGGTTGTTGCTTATCAAACTGCTGGCTGGAAAAGAACAAGAAAAGAAGCATCTTGTGATGATCGACTTGATAAAAAGGAGAGAGGGAGAGGGCCAACAGCCAGCAAGCTGTCATCTCCTAGCACTCCCCCATATGCACCAGGGAAGCACTGTTTTCCATGCATCCGACTTTTTTAATGGTCAGAGGGAGCATGTCAGGGAGGAGCCCTTACTGTCCTCATTTTGCAAATGAGGAAGCGGAGAGAAAGTGATATTGTCTCCCCCCCCCCATCAGTTTTCATGACCCGAATCCTCTCTGAATCCACGTTCCAAGTTGGTGCATCCCTCGGGCCACTGCTGCCCTGTTTCCAGGTGAGCGCCAACTGCCTGCAGTGAGGCTCCCGTGGAACCTGGTTTTGCAGGAGCCAGCCTAGTCCACACCCCGGGGCACACCCAGAGGCAAAGGCCTTCCTCAGTCAGGCCTTGGAGGGTGCCGTCCTGGGGGCTCGCACCCCGAAACCTCTGCTCTCACCCCGCCCACACAATGGCAGTGTCTCCCTCTATGGAAAGGTGTTGGTCCAACTCCGGCCCCTCAAAAGCAGAGCTTCTGTTCCACTGCCGGGCAGATGCTCCTCCTCTCACTGTTGGCTGATGCCCCTCAGAGGGACTCCACATCCCCCCACCCCCGCCCCCGGACACACACAGGACCGGCAGTGCCACCATCCACCGGGAGGGTGCCATCCCAACTGCTGCCTGGCACGAGTGAGCGGCTTAATCATGCTCAGTTAGCTCCTCCATAATACAGGGCTAAACGTATGCCCTTAAATAGCACAGGGGTGTTAAGAGGATGAAATAGGAGACATCACATGAGAGCACCCCAAAACTTACAAAGAACCCTAGACTAGAGGGACTGCTCCTCCGCTGGCACAAAATCAACAAGAATGGAGATGTACGATTTCTCCCAACTGCAGATGATAAACCACCCAATCATATCCTGTTCTGCTTAGTCCATAGTCCAGAGGAGGAGAGACACCCACTAGGCTCACCCTCCGAAGGGATCTGCTACTGTATCTAACAGGATCTGGGAAGGGGGAGACAGTGAGGGAAAAATCAAGTGGCCTTGAAGGTGCATAGGGGCGCAGGGAACGCCTCGCAGGTGCATAGGGGCGCGGGGAACGCTCACAGTCCAGCGCAGGTGGCCTGTCAAAGCAAACCCAGAGCAAGAGGGATGCAGAATGGGTGGGCTGGGCAGACCCCCGGGGTTGGAAGGCTAGGGGAAGGCAGGGAAGACGTGGCTGGTCCTGGCCACAGTGGTGATGGTTGTGATGGAGGTCACTGGTCAAGCCCACGGTTGCCCACCCCCGCTGTAAAAACCAGAGTCTCCAAGAGCCACTCACCTCTAGATGTGTATCCCGGAGTGACTTTGTCTGGACAGCAAATAGGGTCACATCCCTCCCCTATTTGGGATCTCTTGGTGAGTCTGTAGGGGTCGGTCTGTGTGTCCCCAGGACCTCTCTCATCCTGGCTGCCGCCTCTCCGCCCTGCGTGGCTCTTGCCACTCCCTAGCCCTCAGCCCGCTGCTTAGCTGGCTCCCCTAAGCCATGGCTTTAAAAGCTCCAGGCCCATGCATGTGCTGTCCAGCGCCATCTCCCGAAACCAGAAGGCCTGGGTAGGAAAAGGATCATACCAGAAGCTGGTCCTGAGCCCCTTACACGGGATGGACCACATTCCGGTCACAGTGGGGCTTGCAGTGAGGGTTCAGCCAGTGCTCCAGGAACTGCTCCTCGGCGCGGTGTTCCAGGCGGAGCAGATGGTGCATGTACTCCTGTCAAAACAAACCCACACAGCAGAGAGTCTTTTATCCACAGTGACAGCTGAGCTGCTATGGAGCATGGCACGGCGGTGCCTCTGAGACAGGGTGCGGACAGGCCGAGAGAGAGGCTGGGAGGTCAGACCAGAGGCGAACCCGTCATGCCCAGGTCTCTGTGGGGGCGGGGGGGGGAAGCAGTCAGGCAGCCCGCAGTCGATGGGCAAAATAAAGAAATCTGACAACCCTAAGTGCTGAGAGGGCGTGTGTCTATGGGAACTCACACACAGTTAGTGGGGTGTAACGTGGAGCCACCACTTTGAAAATTGGTTGGTGGCCTACAATCTAGAAATCCCACTCCTCAGTTAGACTCTAAGCTGCGGCCCTCAAATATCAGGCATCAGAATCACCTGGAGGGTTTGTCAAAACACAAATTGCTGGGCCCCACCCGCCAGAGTTTCTGATTCACTGGGTCTGAGGTGGGGCTCCAGAATTTACATTTTGGGCAAGTTCCCAGCCAATGCTGATACTGCTGGTCACTTTGAGAACCAGAGAAATGTATATCAGGAGCTGTGCAAGAATGTTCACAGCAGCAAAACCCTGTAGTAACAACACACTAGCACGGTGCCAAATATCCATTGACAGGAGGATGGATACATAAATTGGGGCAGGCTCACACCATGGAGTATTATACAGCAGTGTCCATGAATGAATTATAGCTACCTATGTAGTCACAAAACATGAATCACTAAATAAAATATTATTTGTGGCTGCATGCATTTGTGATAAAAATCATTTTTTTAAGAGGCAAGGGATAACTATAAGAAAGCTGAAGTTGCTATAATACTATTATCAAACAAAAGAGACTTTAAAACCAACAAAACAGGGCACCTGGGTGGCTTGGTGGTTGAATGCTTGCCTTCGGCCCAGGGCGTGATCCTGGAGTCCCGGGATCCAGTCCCACATGGCACTCCCTGCATGGAGCCTGCTTCTCCCTCTGCCTGTGTCTCTGCCTCTCTCTGTGTGTCTCTCATGAATAAATAAACAAAATCTTTAAAAACAACAACAACAACAAAACAGTACTAGGGAGAGAGGGGCATTTCATAAAAACAGCCTAGCAGTTCCTCAAAAATGTTTTTTTTTTTAAGATTTTTAAAAAATCTGATAGTCTCATCTGCACCCCTCCATCGCTGCCGCATCTGTAGGTCAGGTCCTCAGTGCTCCCCACCCAGGCTATGACAACCTCCTCCTCACCCCTCCACTCCTCACTTAGCCCCCCTACCCCTCCACCCAACACCACACCTGCCCCCAACATCTCTGCTCCATCCTGACAGTGACCAGTTCAAAATGCTGTCCAAAGGGGTCACAGCTGCCCTTGGGCCTTCACCAGCACTGCCCACCTGGACGGAGGAGCAGGTGACAACTCACTCTGCCCTCGGGGTTGGTCTGCAGCCCTGGATAACGTCACTGTACCCAGCAGGTAAGGGCAGCTTCCTGTAGGATCTACTCCACTTCCCCATGCTTCACAACAACAGAGAGAGGCCCTGCCCCCTGCCCTGCTCCACTTGTCATTGACAGCCTCATTGATTTCCGAGCTTCTCTAGAATCACTTTCTCCCTCATATGGTTCACCTGAAGGGTCTTTAATGAAGGGCCATTCACGTCCATGAGAACAGGGTTAAGGGGACCACCAAAGAGCATTCCAGCACCCAGGGACTAGCAATAGAGGGAAGCCATGGACATGCCTATGCCTATACAAGGCTCAGAGGAAGAGGCCATGGGGGTCATGGAGGGGTGCAGCCTCTGCCGAGCAGGGAGGGAGCAGGGAACAAATGCCCCAGCCCCTCTCTCCTCTTTTTCCTGTTGCCCTCCATGTCCTGCTGAGCCCACACAGAAGCCAGCTGGCCAGGGAACCCAGCGGTGCAGACTGTGCAGGTCAGCCACCTGAGCAGAGCAGGGTACGGGATGGATGGGGAACAGGATGGAGACACCCAGCAGCCGTACAGGATCATGGGTGCTAGGGTTGCGCCGTTGTCCAAGAAAGGAGCACAGAGCACAGACAGTAGATGCTACCGACCTATGCTGCAGAGGAGCCGCCCACTGAATACACTGAGCACCGGGATCCGGCCTCGGAAGTACAGCTGTTTGCTTTGCGTGAGGTGGTTCTCCCTCCCCTCACGTCCTTGCTCGCTCATGCTCTGCCTCCATCCACGTGAGGGTCGCTTCCAGGGTAAGGGTGGTCTTCTCTTCCCAACAAGCTTGGTCTTCAACCAAGCTCAGCCTGTGAGTTTCCCACATTGTTTCTCATTGCATTATCTCGTATAAATGATACAGAAGATGGAAAAAATGATAAATGATAAGTCAACAGGTTGCTTCTTAAATAAGAGTGAAGTGACAAAAATCTCTTCCTTATAGACCTTGTCTCTCCATCTCCTGATCCAAACAGAGAAGCCCAGACTGCCTAGAACAAAAAATCTACCCATGTTGCTTCCTTGATGAAATTACTTGAATGGGATACACAGGGCTTAGGAGAAAATTTTAATTCCTTAATGTGGTTTGTATGGCTCTCTGTGATCCAGCCTGACCTTCCCTCACCATCAATCTGCCCGAGCCTTCCTGGATGGGTCACACTTGCTCTGCTCTCTGAGCTTATGCTATTCTCTCCACCTAGAACACCCCCGTGCCTTCTCTTTCTGCTGTCTCACTTTCACCTGACTTTTCAGGCCTCAGCCTAAATGTTCCTTCCTCCAGGAAGCCTTCTCAGATTCCCTGTGACCTCAGAGCTCTCCAGACATCCTCCAGCATTGCCCTGGTCACTCTCTTTGTCAGTGACCTCTCCCTGAAAGTAAGGATGTATTTGACCTACATCATATTTTTTAGTGGTGGTGCCATGTGGGTGGGCTTACATACTGCCACATGAACTTGATAGTTTCTCCCCAAAAGGGAGTAGGTGAAGATGAGAATAATTTTTAACTTGGAGGTAGGCTGTTGACATTGCTCTGAATGAAGTCTGGGTGCTGTAATTATGGGATGGGAACCATTGCAAAGTGTAAAACAGATCCATATAAACGCACATGGGTATCCCAAAACAGCAGGTCAATAATCAGAGAAGTGGTATCTCACTTTGGGAGAGAGTAATCATATTCAGTAATATCTGTGCAAGATTAAATTATTTTGGTATGTATAAATATCATAAAAATCCCAAATCCTGAACACTCTCCTGTGGTATTATAAAGCTTTGAGAGAGGAATCCAGTTTAGAACTGTAATTTTTAAAGTTTCTATGAAACCCTGTAGGAAGTCTGCATCTTATATTAAATATAGCCTTTAAAAAAAAAAAAGCAGGGATAATGGGTTTCTCAGGGGTTGAGCGTCTGCCTTGGGCTCAGGGCGTGATCCCCGGGGATCCAGGATTGAGTCCGGGGAGCCTGCTTCTCCCTCTGCCTGTGTCTCTGCCTCTCTCTCTGTGTCTCTCATGAATAAATAAATAAAATAAAAACAAAAAAACGTTTTTTAATGACAGTGCAAAGGAATGAATTATAAAGTGTCCAAGTTTCCTGAGGTTTTTTTTTTCCCCCCTTTCCTGCAGGACCCATGCAGTTTGAATTTGTTTTGTTTATCATTGTTGTTTTCATCTGACTTGTCAAAATGCATTCCTTGTCCCAGGCAGGGAGTCTCTGGGGCAGCCAAGGAGGAGGCAGATGGTGAGAGGCTCCTGCGGGACCCCACTGTAGGACCACGACTCCCTAGCAGCTTGCAAGGACCTGTTTGTGAGTTTTGGGCTGAATCCTGCCCTTTCATGCCCTGTCTGGGGAGTTTGGGGGCAGAAGAAGAATAATTGAGGGAAACAGGAAAGCAGTGTGGAGTCTTGTAAATAAAGAACAAAGTTTTGCCAGCACACAGCTGTCCTTCTACAGTTCCCTGCGAGCAGCTCACTGAAGGAAGCCCACGTGGCCACCTTCTTGCCTGCCTGTGTGCCAGGCGGTCGGGTAGAGAGGCTAAGAGGTCTGGGTGTGAGCCTGGGGCGGGGTCTGTTCAAGTCCAGACTCTGCCGGTATCGGTTGGCCTGTCCATCTTCATTGCATCCATCTGCACGACAGGGATGGCTCTAGCACTCATTTCCCTGGGCTGTCAGGATTAAATGAAATGATACAGGTTCTGTGCCACATACGTAGTCTCCATCTACGCCTTTCAATCCGTTTCTCTCCTCCCTCACCTGGCCCTGTACAATGAGAAGCTGGCCTAGAAGTGCAGCCCAGACTCCCTTAGGGACCTGGGGCTTGCAGATGGGTCTGAAGTAGAGACCCCAGCAGGGGATTAGACGTAGGAGAGAGTGATGCCTCCAGTGGAGTCCCAAAGTGTCAGATGGCTGCATCCTCTCCTGAAGGCTCTCTCATTCCGGGAACCTGCCTTTCTCCTTCATGCCCAGGGGCTGTGAGCCTGGAATTTATCATCTCTTGGTAGTTGACCTGAACTCTGCAATGCCTTTGCAAGAAGCCTCTTCCTTATGCGCTGCCCAATTCTTTGTGGTTACAATTAGATAAGAAAGATCTGAGCCTGTCTTGAAGTTGTAGGTGGAGCCCCTTTCCCAGGAACTGGTCTGCAGGAAATTGTCAATAAATGCTGGCGGAATGAAAGACCAAAGCAGCGGTCCTCAAAGTGGGGGCTATGCTCCCCCTCAGGGCTCCATGAGGTCAAAACTCTTTTTAGGATAATCTAAGACATTATTTGCCTTTTCATAGATGGATAAAACTGGTACCTTAACCATTTTAGTGATGGTGACGACCATTATCACTGTCCTTGTGTCTTTTACCATCACGCACTCACAGTGAGAATACATAAATAAATATAGAATATTCTAAAAATGCCTGTTTCTCTGAAGAACACCCTGTGAGGTAGACGAAAGTGACCCAATGTGAAGCATGCAGGCAGCACCTCTGTCGCATGACCAAGTACAGTGGTTTCCTCAAAGAAGAGCCCTTAAGTGACTGTTGTGTCAAGGACTAGCTGTGTTTGGCAA